CAATTATATACACGTATATATATATATAGATAGATATATATATATATATATATACCGCATGTAGTTGACAAAACGTCCCTTTCATGGACAATTACATCACCGTACGTCTCGGGTGAACTTAACATAGTGTGTCTTTGGAAGTATGGCTTCAAATAGTCATCATTCATTGTAATTAGTAGTCTTATATGCTTTCAATTCTGTATATGTCGGAGTTCAGTGAGTGCGAGTGTGATACTGTTGTTAGCATATATGGTATTTTTCCTCATGTGATGTGGCGTGTGTCTATACAAAGTCTTTGTGTGGAAACACAATATTGATAAATGATGTTTGTAAAATTCACGTCGCGAACACACTGATATTAATAATCCAAACCAAAGTTGAGGGACCCTCCGCCTATGATAGCAGCTTGGTTTATCCTCTGTTTCTTTAAGGTTCTAGGTTCTGAGGAGACAATGGACGATCACTTACTTTATCGCATCACGTATTAGGGTCGCCTCCAACTCTCGCAAACGCGCTGCATTTCTGCGCATCGAATCGGGTATTATACAACCTGATCAATGTAAAGTTGTATATTGACTTGTACCATGTCGTCGCTTAAACTCCCTTATTCAAAGCGGCTGAATCATCGGGACAATCAGACATCTCATATCAGACCACGTATGTACTATGTATACACATATCTAAATACGTACGGTACCACAACACGCCCTTAGCCTCTATGACGCTATAAAATATGTATCTGAAATTGTTTTTAACTTAATATATATACACGAAAGATATTTTTCATTATTTACAAGCATTTTGTAAGTCTGCTTTTTTTTTTTGCAGTAAATTTTTTTTGAGTATGTTCTGAAATTCGGAATGGATTCCAAATGTAAAATAGAGCCACAAGATAATCTTTTATTTATAAAACAAAAATAAAGTACTTTTAATTTTAGAAGGTGAATTTCATACATAGCCTTCTAAAATTAAAAATACAGAAGCCAGACTGCCAGACATCCTATATTGAGCTACATAATTTGGAGACTTACTCCGTAATTTATTTTGAGCGCCAAAAGTTTATGTGACATAATATCAATAATTTTGTACTAATATCACGTGAAATTGTATTTGTACTGTCTTTGAAGTAGTAAGGTGTTGTGTGCAGTTGCTACGTGCAACAACCGGACAGGTGCATTCCACGATGGTAGGGCAGTATCCTTCTGGCGTATACCATCAATGAAGTTGTATCCATAGTTCGGGCCAGGTTTAGAACATAAAATAGATTAAAAAAAGGTAGACATCAACAATGCAATGCGAGCGAAGTAAATCGATGCATAATGCATATCGTCGCGACTTCAAGGCCGACGAGATATTGAGCGCGAAACAAGTAGCCGACAACTATTGGGACAAAGAGAGCAGTCGTGTCTGTAGTATACACTTTTATGATTCTGTATTGATCAAAGACACGTGATGTAAGAAGTTCAAGTATGCATTATGTGCGGCCCC